GGGGGGGGGGGTGCTCCTTGGACCCCTTAGAAAGGCTCCCATCTGGGACCGCCGCCTTAGGTTTCCAGAGTGTATTACTTTTCCCATGTAAGTTTTACATCCCTGGGTGCTCCCTTGTGCATGTATGCTTCTGCGGAAGCCGAGAATGTTTCTGAGTGTTCTCAGAGGGTCTGCTGGGGTAATAATAGTTGTAAAGCGCATAGAGCATGCTCTTGAGCATGGATATGCGCTATATAAATTATATATATACATATATATATGTACTAAAGCTGTAATCGAGTCCTGTTCCGTACAAATCCCTGTTTTTGGCCATCGACGCAAGTTAACATGGTTATGGTTTTATAGAAGGAGAAAGTTGGAAAAATAGGTGATAAGTTTACCAACAAGTCTGGCATTAGGTCTGCATCATAAAGTCACAGAGGAATCCATGTTAAAAGTACAAGGAATTTACGAATCAGAAAGTAATGAGAAACATTTTTCGGATAGAAAAGATGGCAACCCCCTCCCCCCCAAAAAGAAGGAAAAAACGAACCTTTTAAACCTCTCCCGCTTTTGCTATCGTAATTGTACGACATTCTACTTGAGTGGTTGCATTTGCTTAACCAGCGTCTGTGGTGTAGTGTTAAGTAAGGCGCTTCACTGTTGCACATAGGCAATGATCGTACTTAACAAGATAGTTCACTCCTCTCTTTGAGCCAATTAAAAAAGTGTCCTCAAGATCTGATGGCGCCCTCTTCGAAAAAAGTGCGAACAGAGTTACCATACTTGTGTGAAAAACAATAGAAGCGAAACTAGCAAACTGTGCTATTCCTATTCTTCTTCTGGAGAAACCAAAGAAAGCTTCAAAACAAAGACTGCTGCGCCATCTGAACCAATGCGCGGACTTCCGCGGACACTTTTTTGGCCGAGTGAACCATTTTGTTATGAACGATCTTTGACACAGGAGATCCGAGTTCGTTTCCCGAGTGGAGAAAATTTGTATCCAGTATCTCGGTCTTTTTGCTGGGCTGTTGTATCCCTCTGAGCTCGGGTTGGCAGTAGCAGCCGTGCGGGAAATCTGCCTCTTGAATCAATTATCTCAATTATTGTGTCAATGGCGGGGTTAAAAAAACCACATAATTTAAAAAACAAACAAACAAACAAACAAACAAACAAATAAACAAACAAATAAACAAACAAACAAACAAACAAACAAACAAACAAACAAACAAACAAACAAACAAACAAACAAATAAACAAAAAAAGCAATTTGCTTTGCTTAGATTGTACGCTTTTGATCCCAATTTTCCTTGGCCAGTATTTGTGCATTGCATATTGTTTTAGATTGATTGTTTGCTTTAGCTAAGCTTACTTTCTATTAAACCTTCTTTTTCTTCTCCAATAATTGTATCTCATTACTCTTTTTTTTTTTTTTGCATTTTCTTTGCTTGGATTGCATACTTTTGACCTAACCTTTTCTTAACCAACAGCTGTATGTTATTAGACTTTATTGTTTGGTTCGTTTAGTCCACTTTGCTTCACATGCTTTTTTGCAACCAATATCTCTACAATGTTATACATGATAATAACGTTGCTTTCGCTTCGCCTGTTGTATACCATGAAATCTGCTTCTGCTCCTAACCTGCTGCTACCCCCTCCCAAATCCA